AGGAGAGAGGGTCTTGTGGTTCACTGTATACTACTTAACTTACTTCTTAACTTATACTACTATACTTAACTTCTATTTTCTGAACAGCTCCGAAATTCATTTTTGAAATTTCTGTCTTCAACAGTATCCCCAAGGGTTTATGAAAGATGCTGACACTGTGGCCCTCTTTCAACTGTAATTGTCTTAAGCAGCCCATGCTGGTGGCATCCTTCCAGGGACTGTCCTGTATCTTGAAATGTGGGGGTGAAGATAAAGTTAAGTTGACAGAGTCCGCATATATTTAAAAATAAGACTAATGAGCCTTGCAAGTGGGCTCTTCCTGTGAGTTAAGGGAGAGAAAGGAATCAAAAATAAGTCCAAGCGATGATCATGCCATTCACCAAGATGGGAAAATAAAGGAGAGCATACAGAATAGGCCTGGGAAGAAAGAGTTCTATGTGGACTTGTTAGATTGATGTGCCAATGAACTATCCAAGTAGAGATATCAAGAAAGCAGATGGATATACCAACATAGAGCTGGTAACAAAGAGCTCAGCAGAAACACTCAGGAGTATTGTTGTTGAATAAAAGCTACATGAATAAATGAGCACACCTAGGGGAGACTAAAAGACCAAATACTAGAGCGGTCAAGTAAAATAAGAGGAAACTGCAGAGTAAATTGAGAATAAGCTATTGGAAAAGTAGAATAGAAAGCAGGAGAACGGGGTGTCATAAAAGCTGAGTTTTTTTTTTTCTGGAAATAGTCAACTATGTGAGAATGTGGCAAGATAAAGAACAGTCATCCCTCAGTATCTGCAGGAAATTAGTTCCTGGCCCTCCATGGATACGAAAATCCTCAGATGCTCAAGTTCCTTATGTTATCTGCATATAACCTATGCACATTCTCCCATGTACTTTAGATCACCTCTGAACTACTTATAATACCTAATACAAGTGCTATGTAAAGAGTTGCTATACTGTATTTTTATTTGTATTACCTTTCTTTGTTGTATTGTTATTTTTTATTGTTTTGTTCCAAAATATTTTTGATTCTCAGTTACATTTATTATGGAGAAGCCATGGATGCAAAGGGCCAACTGTATTAACATGAATGCAGAATCCTCTGAATTTCACAACAGAAGGGTCATTGGTGACCTTGACAAGAGGAGTTTCACCGGGTGGGGGTGGGAGAGGGCAGCCTGAGGAAGCCAGTTTGGAATGAAAGGCTATTTCCTTTCTGGTTGCAGCCACTGGGCTTGGGGCCATTGTTTGGACAAAGGAGCTGCATAAATCCCAGCAGGCCAGATGTGGCCAATTTCATCTTTCTAGGCTGCGTCTGTTATTTCTAATTTCAGTTAGCACACCTCAGACAGGAAGGATGCTATGGAACACCTCTTCCACAGCAACCACCTCATAAATGAACATGATCACACACCTTAGTCAGTGCCCAGGTTCAAGAAGAGAGAAGGGGACAGAGGAAGGAACAGAGGGAAGGAGGGACGGAAGGAGGGAGGGACGGAGGGAGGAAGGGACGGAGGCAGAAAGGATGGAAGCAAAAACATGGTCTACAGGAAGCAGAACAAAATGTGATTAATTCTTCTGGCTATTGTATATCAAGATGTCATAAAAACTAGCATTTGCAATGTTAGAGAAGGGCTCTTCCTGTCCACCACAATTCATGTCACCTTGATGAGGCAGGAGATAGGCAAAACGGGATAAGGGCTGTCTGCTGAAGAGGCCCTTGGTGCTTTACAGCTTTCCAGGCTCATGCCTGTGCAGACAGCACATGTGACATTGACCTGGAGAGTTGCTGTGCAGAAAAATTAAAAATATTAAAGCACATATATAAATGTCCATCTTTTAAATCACTTTATGATGAAGTTAATTTTAATTTCTCATTAATATTCTTAATCAGCAGTGACTTGAAACATTTTAGCTTTTAGTTTTTTCCACTGTTAAGTTGACCTATACACACTCTTGAGCAGTCTTTTATAATAAGAAACATAGCCGGGCCCGGTGGCTCAGCCTGTAATCCTGCGCCTTTGGGAGGCTGAAGTGAGTGGATTGCCTGAGCCCTGCAGGTTTGAGACCCGCCTGGGGCAGCAAGACCTCATCTCTACAATAAATCAAAAAAATCAGCCGTG